GGCGCCCCCTAGGAGGGATCCAATTGTTCAAAAACAAAATATCCTGAAAGATTTTTACAATTAAATAATATTTAGGGTATGCTTAATGACCCGGAATTTTGGTGTATGTGCCCGAGCTGTCCAGCCACGCCATAATGCCAAAAGTATGAAATAAGGACCACCGTACCGACTGTGGCAGGGTTTGTTTTAGCCTGATCTCCTTTGTTGCTTACTTTAACGTGCTTTTGTCTACACTAGTTGCTTTTGAACATGTGTTTTTTATTTGTGTTATAGAAATTAATTAATAAAGTTGCCATGGCAGTATCGACAAGGAAGCAGTCTGAGATATATTTACTTGGGACAGTGAAAGAAGAGTTTACAGGCGCTAAATTGCCATCAATACAGGACGTCCTTGGTGTGTTTTTTTACCATCTGAAGGTCGTTGAAGAAACGAAGCATTCAGCTGCCAAAGAAACAATTCGACAACTCTTCACGTACTGGATCCGTGCAAGAATACCAGTCCGGGATGAACGAAGAGCAATAAAGAAGTTGGAAGATTTGGTTCTGACTTGGGATAACCTTAAGAAAAACAAAAACAGAAAAACTGAAACACAGAAGAGGAATGAAGAAGCTTTTATTGCTGAGTTTCCGAATCTGTTTGATATTTCTCATGGCGATGCTCTGCAAATGATAAACATTGAAGAAGATAAGCAATTTTTGCTTGCTCAACGGGAACCTGGTAGGCGAGGATCTATGGCAGGATTGGACAAGAACTTGGAGAATAAGGAAAAGGAGAAAGAAAAACGAGATAACCAAATGAAGAAGAGAAAAGATGCTAGTGAGGAAGCGAAAAGGAAAATGTTTGACACGGCTGTGCTGGAAGACACCTCCTCCGTCGAATCACAGGATGCAGATTTCTCAGGACCTTCGACATCAAGCCTTACCAGTCCAAATCCATGCCTTCGAAAACGCGGGAGAAAAAACATCCTTACACCGGAAGTTCTTGGTTCCCTTGACAGAGCTGGGATCAGTGACAAGCATGCTGTTCACACTGTGGCATCCGTTATTTCTGCAACAGGCCAGAACGCGGCAGAATTTGCTGTGAACCGATCTTCCGTTCGCAGGTACCGGCTGAAGCATCGAGAACTGAGATCAAAGGAACTGAAAGTAGAGTTTCAAAGTCACGGAAAGCCTCTAACTATCCACTGGGACGGAAAGCTGATGAAGGATTTGACAGGAGATGAAAAAGTAGACAGATTGCCGATTGTTGTTTCTTCTGATAGTGTTGACCAGCTTCTAGCTGTTCCTAAGCTTTCATCGGGAACAGGACATGCCATATGCGACGCCATTGTCCAGATAATTGATGATTGGAAGATCAAAGACGATATTAAGGCCTTTAGTTTTGACACAACAGCGGCTAACACTGGGCGACGTAATGGAGCGTGTGTTCTTCTGGAAGGAAAACTCGGCCATGATGTACTGTACTTAGCATGCCGCCACCACATCCATGAGATTATGCTCGAGGAAGTGTTTTCCTTATGCATCAGCCCTTCATCATCACCCGAGATACAATTATTCAAGATGTTTAAACAGTTCTGGCCAAACATTCAAACTGCTGACTTTCATGCAGGGATCCAGGATGACGCTGTAATGGCTCAACTTGATTCGGAAACCAGGCAGAGGACTCTTTCCTATGCCACTGAGCAGCTACACACGGAACACCCCAGAGACGATTACAGAGAGCTCCTTGAAATAACAATTATTTTCTTAGGAGGCGTTCCTCCGAGAGGTGTCAGATTCATGAAACCAGGAGCGATGCACAGAGCCAGATTCATGTCACGTCTCATTTACAGCATGAAGATATTTATCTTCAGAAACAGTGGATTTCATCTTACTGACTGTGAGCTCAATGGACTCAAGGACCTCTGTGTGTTTGCAGTGAAGTTCTACATAAGAGGCTGGTTTTCTTCTCGTCTTGGAATCTCAGCTCCAAAGAACGACCTTATGCTCTGTAAGGAATTGTTGGCTTCTGGAAACTGTACATCGCTTGCTGCCTTGAAGAAGTTAAAAGGACACCTTTGGTACTTGTCGGAAGTACTCGTAGGCTTTTCTTTTTTTGACGATTCCATTTCTGTTGAAGACAAGAGAAAGATGGTCAAGGCGTTGGACAACCCTGGAGTACAAGAACCAGCCAAACGCATCTCTCTATTAGACCAAGATATAAGAGAAAAGGAGATACCTGACTTCGTGACAACAAATACAAAGAAGTTCTTTAGTGCTTTGAACATTTCAACCAGCTTCTTCGATGAAGATCCTGCCATCTGGCGTGATCTGCCTGCCTTTACTGAAGCACAGACATTTGTTGGTAAACTTCGAGTTACTAACGACACTGCAGAGCGAGGTGTCGCCCTCATTCAGGAGTATAGCGGACTCCGGACAAAATCTGAAGAGCAGACGCAATTCATCCTTCAAGTAGTGGCTGAGCATAGAAAGAAGTTACCAGAAATAAGCAAAGTAGCAGTTGTGGAAAGCCTGAAGACATAATTTAGTTCGGAAGATGACTAAGTGAGTTGCTTTCAGAACATTATGTTATACAAATATCTTACATTTGAAAAACATTCATGTCACTTTACTGCGTTGAACACTGAGACTGAGTGACTGCTATATGCGAAAGTTTGTTTGAATTGAGCATACCCTAAATGTTAATAAAATTCAACAATAATTAAAAGCAAGTGTTTTTACACCGAATGGAAACATTTTGAGGGGCGCCCGCCAAATTTTTTCCAAAATAAATTTTCAACCTCCTATAAGGACCACCCTAATATATATATATATATATATATATATATATATATATATATATATATATATATATATATATATATATATATATATATATATATATATATATATATATATATATATATATATATATATATATATATATATATATATATATATATATATATATATATATATATATATATATATATATATACCGTCCCATTAGTCTTCTTTCTATCATAAACAAGGTTTTTGAATCTTTTATTAACAAACACTTAATCTCTCATTTTGAATCTCATAACCTACTTTCTGATCATCAATATGAACTTCGATCTCCTCGTTCTACGGCTGATTTGCTAACAGTAATAACCGATAGGTTTTATCGTGCATTAGATAAAGGTGGAGAAGTTAAGGCCATTGCTCTTGACATTTCTAAAGTGTTTGATAAAGTTTGGCATGCTTGTCTTCTCCATAAGTTTACTTCCTACGGTGTATCTGGAAACATCTTTAAGATTATTGAATCCTTTTTTTCCAATCGTAGTATAAAAGATGTCCTTGATGGGCAGCACTCTTCTTCTTATTCTGTAACCTCAGGGGTTTCTCAAGGTTCAATCCTTGTCCCTATACGCTTTTTAATATACATTAACGATCTTCCAGATATTCTCAAATATAAGGTGGCATTGTTCGCTGATGATACTACTATTTATTCTTGTCACGATAAGAAGCCAACTCCCTCTGATTGCTTTCAGGGGGCATTTGAGGTTAAAAAGGATCTCACTTCTGCTACAACATGGGGCTCACAGTTGCTGGTGAATTTTAGTTTAGATAAAACTCAATTTTTTTTAGCCAATTGTTATCGCAATAATTTAGACCTTCCTATATTTATGAACGGTAATGTACTCAATGAGTCTCCTACCCTTCATCTTCTAGGATTAACTCTCACTTCTGATATTTCTTGTAAACCCTATATCGAATCAGTTGCAAAATTAGCATCTGCTAAAGTTGCATCTCTTTATCGAGCTTGACACTTTCTTACTCTGGATTCTATTCTCTATCTCTATAAATCTCAAATCCGAAATTGTATGGAATACTGTTGCCATATCTGGGGCGGATCTTCTAATGATGCCCTTTCTCTTTTAGACAAGGTACAAAAACGCATTGTAAACATAGTTGGACCTGCTCTTGCAGCCAACCTTCAACCTCTGTCGCATTGTCGTAATGTTGCTTCTCTTTCTCTTTTCTACAAATACTATAATGGGCACTGCTCTAAAGAGCTAGTGTCTCTTGTGCCATCTATTAAAATTCATTCTCGTGTTACTCATTCAATTAAGTCTCATCCTTTTTCTGTTACTGTTCCTAAGTGCTCCAAAAATCTTATTCGTCTAGTTTTTCGGAATTCACTTCCTTTATCTTGCTTTCCTGATTCATATAGTTTGCAATATTTTAAGTCGTCTGTCAATCGTTATCTTGATCTACAATCTTCATCTTTTCTCTTCCAGTAACTTCCAACACTAATTAGTGGTTGCTTGCACCCTTGTTGGAAGCGAAGATGTTAAAAAATAAAAAATAAAAAAAGTTGCGTTATTATAAGTTGTTATAGTATGAAATATATAGTATAAAATATAATAATATATATAATATGACAATATATAATATGACAATATTCTGTATTACATATATAAGAATATAAATTATAAAAAATATACAAAATATACAGGGTTACTAAAAAAAAAAAATAGAAGGTTTGTAAAATATTCTTTCACGTATATGTGAAAGAACATTTTACGAGTTTGAAAAAATATTTTTCGAGTTTGTAATTGACTTTATGCATAAAGTCAATTATAAACTTCAAACCCTAATATAGTAAATGTAAATAAACACGTCACAATTTAGTAATGTGATTTACATAATCTTTGATTAAAGTGTCAAGTTTCGTCATAATTCGTATCATGAGTTTTTTGCAATCTTTTTTTTTTGTTGTTGTGAAAACGCAAAGATTCTTTGTTTTTTTGACAAATAAAAAAACATTTTAGTAAACAAAGTTTTACATGCAGAAATATTTCAAATAAATCCATTTTGAAAACGTACTGTGTATTTAAATATTTTTTATAGTTTTTTGATTTTGAAGCTAAAGACGGAGGATTTCCTTTTTTGTGTGGTTTAATATTATGTAATTTTTAATTTTTGTTTTTAGTTTAAGTATTTAAATTTCATATATACTTTATATTATTTTTTAGCAACACTGCTGTTCCAAACTGAATGGAACCAAAACAGAATGATTGCCATGAGTTTAGTATTTTTAAAGGTAATGTTTAAGTTAATTTTTTAAATTTACGTTTCAATGATTTTTACATTTTTTTTAATAGTAGTTGTATAGCTTATAATGAAATATTTTATATTATAATTAAAAATTTATTGATAGAATACAATTTCCTTTATTAGGCTGGCATAGATGTACACCTGTGTTACATTGTTTTATGCCTTGGATTATGAATTCTAGATCATCTTGACTCTACTCATAGATTTTGCTTGAGCCTTTTTGATAATAGCTATGCAACTCTTATAGTTACCTCCTAATGAAGGTATAGCTCTAAAACTCAGTTTAATGATTCTGAGAGCGGCTGGTAGTAATGTTTCCCAAACTCTGTGGTAGCTCTCAGAGAGGCTGATTTCATCAATAGTTGTAAAATATTAAAGTATTAACAGCGTCGTGCTTAGCACGGATGATATCCCTGCTAATACTTTTGGCGTACATTATCTGGACCACATAAATAACTTTAAGTTACAATTTTGCGTTAATTAGAAGAACTGATACAACTGTATAGCTCATTGTTTGGGATGCCAAGCACTCTCTATGAAGGAGTCAAGGTTTCTTTATACTTAAATTATCCCCAAAGTAACCCAAAATATTAAACATGAAAAACCATCCCCATTATCTAACTGATTCAATATATCTTTTACAAATATTTGTAGCCTTTTAAGTAACCGTCTATTATTTGAATCTTAAGTCTCAAAATTTACCAGACTTGTTGTTCTTTGTGAGACAATTTCAGTTCAGCTGTTGCTTATTTAGATGTCAGTATTGATGAGTGCTGTTTTTTGATTTGCAAAGACTTCAATAGCCACATGCTTAGCAAGGGGGTTTTAGCACCTCTTCACCTTTTTTATTGTTCTTTATCGTTCTCTTTCTTCTCAAGACCATACTCTTTTATGTAGTTTTTGATCAAATTAGTCATGTCCTCATACTTTTACTTTTTTGACTCATTTTTTAGACAACCCTAATCACTTACCTTCACTCCTTGATTTATGTCTTGCTTCTAACCTTAGCTTGTATTTAGATTCATCTTGTTCTCCTTTAGATAGTTCCGACCATGCAGTGATCTCTATAAATCTTTTATCTCGTAGTTTCTCTTCTGACTCACCCTATCATCGCACTACTTACTAATACCATAAAACTGATTCAAAATTCATTTGTAATTTTCTTGTGACGGTCCCTGGGCTGATGTCTCTTCTCTCTTTGCTGATAAATACACCTCTAATGTAACCTCCTGGATGCAGGCAGGAACGGAAGCTTTTATTAATTTTTGTCGGCTCCAAGTCAAGCCTCATTCTACTCCAAGGTTTTCACCTTTTTGTATTGATTCTATACCTAATCGTAATCATTTTTTTTCATCTTTTTCAAAAAACAAAAACCTTGAGAACAAAGATCTATTTATTGGTGTAAAAAATCAATGCAAAAAAGTGGTGTCTGATGCTAAATTTCATTATTTTCAGTTTACAAAATCTCCTATCTTAACTTAGAAGTAAGGCTCTGTAGACTTTTGAAAAATCTTCAACAGCGCCATAAACAAAGATAATTTAACTTAGTCTAGCATTCCTTTTCTAATTCACAGAACTGATCTTATAATCTATCTCAGAGATAAGGCTAAAATATTTGCAAAAAACTTTTCTTTTTATATTACTCTTGTATCTTATTACCATAGCCTTCTTTCATTTCAGTTGAACAGTTTAACCCACATTAGACATTCAAATCACTCCAACTTTTGTTGCTAAAGTCATTTAATACACTTTAGAATTCAGAGCACGCCAGCTTTTGTTGCTAAAGTCACATCTCAATTAAACTACTGCATATGCGGTAGTGGTGTAGTGGTAGAGCGGTAGTGGTAGAGAGTGGTATAAACGAGTAGTAAAAAACGGAGCGGTAGTGGTAGAGAGTGGTATAAACGAGTGGTTCCGAGTTCGATCCCCACCATGTCCCAGGTAGTACCGCGCTCAACTCGTTTCTCCGCGCAGCGGCCTTGTTCGTCAAGGTTTGTGTTTCGGAGTTAGAGAGTTGAGAGAGGGTTATAGCCACAAATAAGTAGCCTCCTCTTCTGTAATGGCCTTCTCGGCCTTGAGGAGGTGAATTAAAATAAAAAAAAGAACTCTTCTGCGGTTTGTTGCCCAGATAACGTTCCTATCATAGTCTTTTAAAAGTGTTTTTCAAAACTCTCTAAAATTCTCTCAAAACAATTTAATTAATGCTTGTCTAAATCTTGTTTTCCTGCGTGCTGCAAAATAGCATCTGTAGTTCCAATATTTAAAAACTCTGGAGAACATTCTGGCCCCTCTAATTGAGCATTATTTTATTCTGTCTATTCTACTCCTTACATAGCATACCAATACAGAAAATATATTTATGTTTAAGCAAAATAAGATGTCATTCTAAAAGATAGCTTGATGTTTAAATTGAGTCAAAACTACGTTGATGTCTTAGGGGGATTGTTCTTACAATCAAACAAGTAGTCGTTTGCGTATTTTGTTCAACTGTGTTCCAACTTACCCCACACTATGTTCCAACATGCCCCACCATGGGGCATGTTCGAACAGTTTGTCTATGGTTATATTATCATTTATAATTTTCTGATGTGAACTGTTTAAAATATATTTTATTTTTAATTATAGCCATTATTTGTAGCTATAATATGACCCTAACGAGAAACAAAATCGCAAACAAGTTTATTTCTTGTTGGTGTGTCAGTCAATACCAGAGACCTAGAACATTTTCTTTTTGCACTTTTTCACTTTGCCAATCTTTACAGAAGTTCTTACAATCAAACAAGTAGTCGAACAGGTTCAGGACAATGAGGGTGGAGTCAATAACTCAACTTTTTTACTTATTTTTATCTTTCTTTTTTCTTATATCCTGATAACCTTTTAAATAGTTTATTTCTTGTTGGTGTGTCAGTCAATACCAGAGACCTAGAACATTTTCTTTTTGCACTTTTTCACTTTGCCAATCTCTCTAATCTGCTTTTAGAAATAGTCTTATTTCTTCTACTTTCTAATGTTAGGCAGAAGTGTTGGTTTGCTGTTTCTTGTTATTAATAACTTCAAATACAATTGATATTGGTCAAGGGATTGTTTGTGTTTGTCAATTAAATATATTACTTTAGTAGTAAAACTCAGTTGCAGGGTCTGTCTGGTTGGATACATTAGTTAGACTTACAGAAAACATTTTTTGGATCAGTTGAGAGATACTGCATTTTCTGGCCGATCAGCAAATGCAGGCCGATATATAAGAACATAAAAAAGTTACATCACTGAAAACATAAGGGTGATACAGGTAAATGCCAGCTGCATTAAAACTATTTTGAATATTTTGGGAAGTTAAGGCTCTTGCATAAGCTAATCCTAAATTTTTAGAAATGTTATATATGATCCAAATACTAATATGTCAAGTTGTTGGAGTTTATGGTTGCAATGTTACTCATCAAAATATATGTTCTTGTTTATTAGTTTCTTTGTTAACCTTAATTTTCCGCTGTAAACTTGATTTTGAAATTTTATAATCTTGTGCAGCTTGGAGAGATAAGCTTCCAGATTCAACAGCCAACACAGCGACACCCATCACAGCAACAGCCAACGCAACAATTTTTATTTTATGAGCATCAGACTTTAACCTATAGTAACTCGTTTGTAATTTCTTGGCATCTGAAAAAAAATATTACACGTATTTCTAGCTCCATAGCGGTTTTGAAACTAATAATGTTATTTCTTATCTAAATTAGAATTTAAATACTCTAAAAAGCACGCCACTATCTACCTTTTGTCTTTTGACATTTTTCACATGGTATTTACACACAAAAAAACGTTTTTGATGCAAAATATTTAATTAAGAATACAAAATTATAATAAAATTTAATTGACAAGTTTTAAATGCGCATTTAAAACTTAATGTGCCGGCTGGGTTTTTTCAAATCATCTGCCATATTTTTTTAATGGTAAAAGTTAGTCATGTAACTTATGTTTTTAATATCATTGGTTTAGGTAATTTCGATTAAGTTTTGGACAACCGGCACATTAAGTTTTAAATGCACATTTAAAACTTGTTTGAATACTTATGTATGCGTAGCCATTTTATTGTGTCAAACACGCATTATAAACACGCTTCAGATGCGTTTATAAACGAGTATGCAATCTGAATCCTACTGAGTAGCAAACTCATATTTAAAACTCCTGTAAATGCGCATAAAACAGTAATTAGATATTATTGAGTGCGATGTTTTCTAGGGATTAAATGCGCATTTTAAACTTTTTAGAATACGTGGTATTCATGAATGTATGTTCCAAGTAGAACACGTACCAGAAATACGTCTTACACGCGTAGATTATTGGACACATAACACATGTCTGAAACGTGTTTTTATTACATGTATTTACAAACGCGCATATGCACTGGCTCTAAAAATAATAACAAAGTGTTAATACTTGAAAATTTTATTAAATTAACTATTACAGAGTTCAATATGCACATCAATATTATAGTTTTTACAGTATTATAAAAATAGATGTTGTATTAATTTTATAATAAATATATATAAAAACCCTCTACTAGCATACTAATGTATTATTCACCTTGTATTATATAAATATATTATTTCTTACAATTTCTTACAATTACTGTTTATATAACTAAAAAATACGCTATACAATGTAATATTCAAAAACTATTTTATTAGGCAAACAATTAAAATTCATTTTATTGAAAGATTTAACTATAGTCAAATTATTCAATAAAATGAATTTCAATTGTTTGCCTAATAATATAGTTTTTGAATATTACATTAAATATTAAATCTTTTTTTCTGATACAGATTTCTTAAATTTGGAAGAACTATCAAAAAACATCAGAAGTTTTGTTATTCTTCAAAATCGTCTTTATGATATATCATCAAAGGTAAATGTATACATTTACCTTTGGTGATATATAACTTTTCTTCCGAATTTAGGAAATCTATGTCAGAAAAAAAGAAATCAATTTAACCAAAGAAAATATTCTTACTTATATCTGAATGGATGCAGCCAGTTTAAAATAAGATACATGCCACATTCTCAAAAATTCTAAAAATTTCAATTAAGTTATTTTTCCTTTCTGTATTCTTTGTCGCTTAATTTGCATTCATCGTCATCCTTATAAGACAAGCAGCAAACTAATTAAGCAAAGAATAATAACAATATAAAAATTTCTAATTTTTAATTGTTTAATAAAAATTTAATCAATAGCAGCTTTAATAATATACATTTCAATAACAACTTTAGCATAAATAAAATACATAAATTCAAAAATAACTTTAATGTATATCTAAATGAATGAGTTCATTTTGTATTTATTATCGGGTATATAAAATTTATATAAGAGTACTGCTTATAACAATAATAAAACATTTTTTCTCTCCCTCGCTGAGAAGTGTTTTTATAACTTTACAATACATAGAGATTCCATCTTTTAAATACTCTCTATGTAAAGATTCTATTTTTACATAGAGTATTTGTTTTTTTTAAAAATTAAAATTTTGCTAATTGTACATTTTTTGTTTTACCCTGAATGGTTTAAAAGTCCATAATATCATTTTGTATTTTAAATGTACATTAAATTTTTTGTGTTTTTTTTTTTTAATACTGTAAGTTTTTCAATATAAATGCAGATGTATCATTTACAAAACAATTATAATATTAACCCTAACCCTAACCCTAACTTGCATATGTCCAAAAGTAGCAAAGATATCTTTGCAAGAACTATTTTTTCTACAAACTCAAAGAAATAAAATTGGTAACAAAAGTTCTGTACAAATAGGGTTAGTTGATATATCAGAGACACATCGGTTAACAAGATATTTGGATCGAATAGAATCAGACTTTAAAATACCTGAAGCAAATAGTGAGGATATAGGTAAATGCTAAAATATTAAAATTTTTTTTGTCAATTTTTATTTAAACTGTGAATTAAAAAATTGAGTATAAATTGAATAAAAATTATTTTGATTAAAATTATTTAACATAATTTACTTTCTCCTTTAGCAACAGAATTTCAAACAACAAACGATTCGAACATTGGCAACAAAAAAGCAAATGATTCAGAAAAAGCTGACTACAGTTTGAAAAAAAATTACTTAGATATTACCAGGGCTTCTCAAGCAGCTATTAGGTATGTGGTATCTAACAGAGCTGCAGCAGCCATAGCTACTGCTTTAAAGAAAAATACTGATATTTTTGTTGATCACAACAAAATAAAACAAAGTAAGACTAAGTTAATGAAAGAAATCCGAGGTTGAGCTGAAAAGTAGCGATGAATGATAATATTTAATGTATATTTTTTGATGGACGAAAAGATTTAACTAAGTACATGAGAGAGGAAGGAGATGAAAAATTACATCCATCAAAAAAAAAAGAAGAACATTATTCAGTTTGTTCTGAACCTGGAGGAAAATAACAATTTCATTTCACTAATCATTCTGAAGAAAGAGTAAAGACTGCAGCTGAGCAAATAGCTGATAATCTTTACGAATGGATTGTAAATCATGATGTTAGAGGCATTTTAATTGCCATTGGTGCGGACTCAATAAATTTAAGCACTTGTTGGAAAGGAGGTGTTATCCATTTCCTTGAACATGTTTGATAAAAAACTAATGCGGATAATTTGTGCTCTTCATACAAATGAAATACCTCTCCGACATCTTAAGTTTCAGCTTGACGGAAAAAATCCATCTAAAAATAACTTTTCTGGTTCTATTGGAAAACTTATAGGTAAGGCAACTAGTTTCAAAGTCAAAGAAAAAATTTTGAATAAAAAAAATTGAATTTCCTAATGCAATAATAGAACTTGACTCTGAAGTTGTAAAATCGCTATCAGATGATCAAAAGTATCTTTATCAAATTACCCATGCAATTAACGCTGGGGTTATTCCGAAAAGTCTTAAAGATAAAGATATTGGGCTACATTTGCATGCAAAATGATTGAATTTCGCAAATAGAATATGTTCACTTTAGTGCTCCAAAATCGTACTTTAAGTTGAAGAAAAATATAATCTTCAACTTCTGGTGGAGTTTATTGTTGGAGTTTATGCGCCACTTTGGTTTAAAATCAAAGTAAAGTGGAAGTGGACTGAAGAGCCTAACCATATACTCAAGCAATTAAAACTTCATTCTTATCAAAGACTTAAAGTTAAAGACATTGTAATGCCCTATGTTTTATCTACTTCATGGAATGCTCATAGTGAAAATGTTCTTCAAACATTGTTGTGTAGTCTAGAAAAAGCAGAAATACAATTTGCAGTTGAAACAATTTTAAAATTAAGAGAAAATTTAAAATACGGAAACACTAATGTAAGAAGTAGAAAACATCATATTCATAATGAAAATGCTGAATCACTTTTTGACCTAATTGATACAGTTTGGATGTGCACAAACCTTTACTTACATATTTATTGTCAAAGGATGAACTTTTAAAATACAATGATATTCCGATGTATGTACCTTGTTTTCCTATTCATGGGCAAGCTATTGAACGATGTGTCCAAGTAGTCACAAGAGCTTCTCAATCAGTGTTTGGAAAAGATAGAAGAGATGGGTTCATCAGAGCAACATTAGCACATCGAGAAATCATGCCCGCAAACCAATCAAAAAAAGATCTATTTAAATTAATTTAAGCAATATGAATTTTTTTGTTGTTTTGCTTTGGATTTTATTAATGATCTCAATAAATAATTTGAGCTTTAAACATATTGTATCTTTAAAAGGTTAATTAATTGTAATCCCAATACAATTAATTAACCTTTCAATAAAAGTCTTTAATAATCTTATAAAATTTAATTTGACATATTCGCATGATCATGCACAAAAAAAAAATAAAAAATAAAAAATAAACCAGGTATTTTGCTGCTGCAGGCTGTTGCTTTAATGAACAATTTTAATATACTTTTTTTATAAACATCCAAACTTACCAAATTATTTATTGAATGACATTATAAGAAGAAAGTAATAAACATTTTCCAAAAGATTTTTAAATTTTACCTTTTTGTTCACAAGCTAGGGCATGCTTTTTTTAAAAAATCACTTGAACTCAACATAGTGCTGGCACTAGCAGGTGTTCTTTTTCTAATAATATCTAAAAAAAAAAAAAGAGTTGAAAAATATTAAATAGTAACTAGTAGTAATAAATGTTCAAAAAAATTTTATATATTTAAAAAAAAAAAAACTGTTTTATATACTTTTATATAAATTTGAAAATAACTGTTTAAAAATTTTAAAAAAGTTCTATTAAATTGTTTAATAAAAGGTTACCTTTGTTTGTCTTATTTGTTAATGAATAGTTATTTAACTGGAGGGGAAAAGCAGGCAAATGAGTTTAGGAGGGAAAAAGCAGGCAATATCGTTTTAAAAAGATGTTAGAAAAATGAATTATAATATATTTTGCAACAAATTACCAAATACTTATTAACATTAGTACTATTAAATTTATGTTTCGGAGTTATAGAGTTGAGCGAGGATAATGATTACTATTAAGCAGCCTCCTCATCCGTAGTGACCTTCTCGGCCTTTAGGAGGTGCATAACAAAAAAAAATAATAATAATAATAATTATTAGTACAATACTTATTATATAAATGTTATATAAATACTTATTAATTATTAGCACTAAATAAATATACTTCAACAAAAAAAAAAAAAAAAAAGTAAAAAACTATAATAAATCATTATTAAAGAGTCGTTAATGAAGATGCTAGATTTTTTTGCAATGTAAGACATAAATAAACTGTAATTTTTTATTAAAAAGTTAATCAAATCATACCATTTGGTACTCAATTATTAACAGAACTTGGTAAAGGTGCACTCCCAATTAATTGTTGATCTTTCTCTCTCGCTCTCTCTCTCTCTCTCTCTCTCTCTCTTTTTCTAACTATGTCTCAAGTCTAGATACACGATAAGGAGGCCAGTAACATAAGTTGGGTTCTCCTGCAAATTGATGGCACAACAGTAACTTAATTTTTAGTTTGAAAATGCCTAATAGCAAAAGCTATATATTATTAATGGCATTCTACTGCTGACTAATTATTACTGTCTAATAATTATTTATGAAATTCTATTGTGAACATGTTTTTACAAACTCAAAACAAACTCAAAACAAGCTCAAAAGAAAGTGACACAGAACTATGACATAAAATAATTCCATGGACTTTTATATACATATGTGTATGCAAAACGTGGAATGTTTATATTATTTTTATTGTATATTGTTTTATAATAAAGTAAAATAAACACAAAACGTCAACCTAAGTATTTTATCCATGATTTTAATGATAAATTAATGATAGCTTTTTGTTCTTCAAAAAAGAATTAATTGGTATATCTTCTCAAAACAACTTCTTCCCGTGATTCAACCTTTTTCGAATCTCTTAATTCTCACTTCTTCTAGCGATTCATTCTTTCTGAGTTCTTTTTAACCACTTCTCGTGATTTAATCTTTTTGTTTCGAAACAAAATCTTTACAACTTTTTAGCATAATTTGAATGAACAACAATTTATAAGAAATTCGATTTGATTCAAATTTAAAGAAATCATTTTGCTAACTATGTTTGATAAATACTTAAAAATAAGCTGGGTAGTTATTAAGTACATAACCACGTGCTTATGTACTGTAACAATGTAGTCTATGTACTTTAACTATATATTTAAATACAATGGTACTTAAATACATTGTACAATATTGCTGTACAGCTACGTAATGTAGCTACATTGCAGTTAAATACAGTTAAATATAATCTAGTACATTGTATTTAAGTACATATTCAAAGTTGCGTATTACTTAAGTCATTATTTTAAGAAAAATTAAAAAGTGCATGTTTATTTAACAATATCAAAATTTAAGCATGTTTGCAACATGTTTTTTTAAATGATCTGATATTACATTATAAATTACTTACAATTATTAAAAAACCAAATCAATAAAATACTCAACTAAAAACTTTTTACGAGGGGGAGACGGGGTCTGCGATTTGTGCGCTAACACTTTTTTTTTTCAGTTTTAAATCTAGAGAAGACTTTCTTTTAATTAAAAGAGTGAATAAACTACAACCCTCTGAATAAACCACAACCCTCTGAATAAACCACAACCCTCTGAAAAAACCACAACCCTCTGAATAAACCACAACCCTCTGAATAAACCACAACCCTCAATTGATTGTAAAATACAAGTTGATTGTAAAATCAACTGCGCCTAAATCTTTATTAGTTGAAGTGTACACTCCGTATAACCTATAAATTTTTTAATCATATTCTTTTTAGTTTTATTGCCTTAAAAAACAGTGTAATTTACATAATATAAAAAAGATATAACAATTTTATGAAAATCCAGTAACAATACTTACTGAAGTAACAATAATTACTGAAGGTTTTTCAAAGTATTATGTTTTCTAGGTTTTGTTTACAGAATCCTTTTTTAAATTTATAAAATTATTATTGTAAAACATTCAAGTTTATTTTAAAACGACTTTAAAAAATAATATAATTTTATAACTATTTTATATTATAGACTTAAAAAAATAAAACTTAATACGCTAATAATAACGCATCGCGTTATTGTTAGCGTCGCATTTATAAAAAATAAATCGAAACCTTTTAATAAATGATTTTAATTTTATTTTCATTCAAAAAATGTAATTAGTTTTCATAAGACAATTAAATTGTACGTTATATATTAGGTATTCAACCTTCTTCACATAATTTAGTTTCGCGTGAAAAACTACTCCGTGAAATTCAAAATTATTTTTTACAAGATGCAAACAAGTCAGCTTTAGCATTATGTGGTATGTCGGGTGTTGGAAAGACACAAGTTGCCAGAAATTTTTGTGAAATTTATCAAAACTTTTATAAAAACTTTGTTTGGATAGATGCAGCATTTGGAAAGTTACAAACTTCAATAAAAAACCATTGTCAAATATTAGGATTGGAAGTTTGTGATTCAAAAGGTGATTTTAATGTAGAAGTGATTGTTGAAAAAATTCACAACTATTATAAAAATGAAAAGACTTTGTATATTTTTGACAATGTCGACGATGAAAGTGCTAAAAATTTAGCAATCTACATTTCAAAAAAACCAAATTCATTTACGTTGATAACTTCTCAATGGAGAATGTGGTCGAATAGTGTAAATAAAATCCATGTTGATGTTTTTTCTTGTAAAGAAGCATTAGCTTATGTAAAAAATAGTATTAAAGAAAACAGTGATGAAAACATAAGAAACTTAATTGAAGAACTTGGTTATCATCCGTTTGCTATTACTCAGGCAATAAAATATATAAATATATACGAAATTTCGATAGAAAAATACTTAAAACGATATAAATCAAATCCTTCCGAAATATTAGACAATAATAACTTTCCAACCGATAAAGAACCAAAATCCGCAATAAAAGCAATTAATTTAGTTTTAATAAAATTAGAAAAAACTAAACCCTTTCCATTTAAGATGTTAAACTGTTTATCTCATTGCGACGGTCAAAGCATCAGTAAACAACTGATCACCCAAATCTCAAATCACATGCAAATAAACGAAGAGTATTTAATTGATGAAGCCATTATATTACTAATGAATTATTCTTTACTAAACTGTTTTGATGATAAAAAATATTCAATGCACGAAATAACACAATTGACTTGTAGAGGTTTTCAAAATAGGAATTCAATTACAAATACGTATCTTGATCTAATCGAAAACTATTTTAAATTTGAATTGAGCGAAGTAAAAGATCACATGGGTTATGGAAACCATTTTGTTTTTCATTTTATCCATATGTTTCGTCATAACGGAAAAAGATGTTCAAAAATCTTCCATGATATGACAACTTCTATCGAAAAAATATTGGTATGTAAAGGTTTATTTGAAGAAGCAATAGAAGTATTAAAAGCTATTCAAAATTTTAATACAGAAACTAAAGGTGAAAATGATAAACTAACGCTTGATACAAAACATAATATCGCAAACTGCTTGCGCAAAATGGGGAAAAATAACGAAGCTTTAGAAATTTATAATTCTGTAGAAAAAATACAAACTGAAATTTTAGGTATCAACCATCCAGATACAATGACAACAAAACATAATATTGCAAACTGTTTGAGCAAAATGGGAAAATATAACGAGGCTTTGGAAATTTATAATTCTGTTGATAAAATACAAACTGAAATTTTAGGTATCAACCATATAGACACAATGACAACAAAACATAATATCGCAAACTGTTTGAGCAAAATGGGAAAATATAACGAAGCTTTGGAAATTTATAATTCTGTTGATAAAATACAAACTGAAATTTTAGGTATCAACCATCCAGATACAATGGAAACAAAACATGATATGGCATGCTGTTTGAACGATATAGGAAAATATTACGAAAGTTTAGAAATTTATTATTCTGTTGATAAAATACAAACTGAAATTTTGGGTATCAACCATCCAGATACAATGAGAGCAAGAAATAATATTGCACTCTGTTTGAACATTATGGGAAAATACAACGAAGCTTTAGAAATTTTTAATTTTGTTGAAAAAATACAAACTGAAATTTTAGGTATCAACCACCCAGATACAATAGAAACAAAACATAATATCGCATACTGTTTGAACGATATGGGAAAATATAACGAAGCTTTAGAAATTTATTATTCTGTTGATAAAATACGAACTGAAATTTTAGGTATCAACCATCCGTCAACATTGACAACAAAACATAATATCGCAAGCTGTTTTTACAATATGGGAAAATATAACAAAGCTTTAGAAATTTATCATTCTGTTGATAAAATAAAAACTGAAACTTTAGGTACCAACCATCCGTCAACAATGACAACAAAACATAATATAGCAAACTGTTTGAATAATATGGGAAAACATAACGAAGCTTTAGAAGTTTATTATTTTGTTGATAAAATAGAAACGGAAATTTTAGGTATTAACCATCCGTCAACAATGACAACAAAACATAGTATCGCAAACTGTTTAAACCATATGGGAAAATATAACGAAGCATTAGAAATCTATTATTATGTTGATAAAATAAAAACTGAAATTTTAGGTATCAAGCACCCTGATACAATGACAACAAAACATAATATTGCAAACTGTTTGAACAATATGGGAAAACATAACGAAGCGTTAGAAATTTATTATTTTGTTGATAAAATTCAAACTGAAATTTTAGGTACCAACCATCCGTCAACGATGACAACAAGACATAATATTGCAAACTGTTTAAACAATATGGGAAAATATAGCGAAGCTTTAGAAATTTATTATTTTGTGGATAAAATTAAAACTGAAATTTTAGGTATCAACCATCCGTCAACAATGAGAACAAAACGTAGTATCGCAAACTGTCTAAAAAAACGGCCAACGAGTTGTTTAACTATGTGATTATTATTTTATTTTTAATATATTTATTTATTTATATGATGTATATTTTCATAAGTTTTATTATTATAAGGTGTATTTGTTAACAAAATATAAGGTAATGATCGTTTTTTATTTAAATTTAAAAAGCTCCATACATAATTATTTTAAATAAAATCTTAATTATCTACTATAGCATATTTATATGCGCAATTGCTCACTTTTTTTGCTAGCCTAAATTAAGTGAGTGTTTTTAGAAAATGATGAGGGAAAACGAAGAATAATGAATGAAAAGGTTGCTGACCCATACCAAACCCTCATTCGATGTAGCAGCACTCCACTGCGAGTCAGGCTATTTGTCAGTCAATGTATGTACTGAAGCCCCCGACAGCAGGCTATTTGACGTTAGGGGAGTATGACATCATCATGCTCACCTAACTCAGCAGTATAAGATGCCCGTAGGGATACGTGAAATATTATAAATTCATAATATTTATTTGATAAAACAGAAATTAGTAACACTCATATTATTATTACCAGTCATATTATTCATATGAGTAAAGTTTGTAAATCTCCGCGGGGCCCTCTAAGCTCCGGGACCCCCGCCTTGCGAAGTTATGATACCCCTAGTTACGCCACTGATATATATATATATATATATATATATATATATATATATATATATATATATATATATATATATATACATATATATATATATATATATATATATATATATATATATATATATATATATACATATATATATATATATATATATATATATATATATATATATATATATATACATATATATATATATATATATATATATATATATATATATATATATATATATATATATATATATATATATATATATATATATATATATATATATATATATATATATATATATATATATATATATATATATATATATATATATATATATATAATGGCAATACCTACTACAGGCCTTCCCGTTGCGAACCCGTACTTTTAATTGGGGGCGGACAATCTTACAAAAAGTTTTTTCGTAAGTTTCGACAGAGGAAACTATGACGCTATAAATAAAGTACGAGTTTTTAGGCTTCCACCCGATGAAGAAGAAAGAAATCGTTGGATAAACTCAATTCCAATAAGTAATTTTCTAAATAAACCAAAAGCTGTCTGTGAAAGACATTTTCCAGAAAATATTTTAAAAACTATTGACAATAAAAAAGTTAGACCAGTTAAACCTCTTTCAATTTTTCCAAACATTCCACTTAGTGTTATACCAACTCAACCTTTAAACCTATGTCCATTACTAAAATATTGTCTTTTATCAGAACTGAAAAGTGTGATGAGTTGTCGCAACATTTAAAAAACGATTTGTTCACGTTTATCCAATGAAATTCTTTTTATGTCAACTGTGTACCTATGTTTTCATATCTCAAACAATTTTAAGTTTGAAAGTTTTCATGCTCGTATTCGTTGTTTCTTCACTATCAAAATATCATATTATATATCTTGATTGCTGGTCAAAAATTGAAGAAACAGTTCGCTTCCTGAACAACATTGAAATTTATTATCAAAAGTTGATATTACAAGATCTTATTACATCTATGAATGCATCAGAAGTAGGTAAAAAAAATTTATAATATAGAAACTATAATTAGATCATATTGTTATTTTTCAACGTCTCAAAGCTTATACAGTCATATTTTATAAAGTTTCAGATGCTGACGTTGTTATGTTAAGTTTCAGACTTTATCAGAACCATATTTTCAAATTTAGAGAAGAATCAGAGAAATTGTATACTTTTGGTGGATAAATTTTATGTAAAGTCTTTTCTTCTTTATCATAGTGGTTATCTTTTTAGAAAAGCGGAAAATAAGCAAAATGAAAAAAAATCTCGCCCAAAAAGGTAATTTTAGTTTAGAAATTTCATAAAAAACTATTTTTAGTAAATGCATTAAAAAATGGTTTTAAAACTAAAAACATAAATCTTACCTAGAAAGTTTATGTTCTTACCCAGAAAGTTTATGATTTGCATATACGCATTGTGGTGAACAGACGCGTTTTTATTGCAAGAAAAAAAGTAAAAATAAAATAAATTTTATATATAAACGTTTAAAAATTATAAATAATAATATGAAAAAAATTTCTGAATTAGGGGAGACCGGGGCTAGTTGGCCGCAGGGGTAAGTTGACGAATTGCGTTTATCTTTAAAGCCTTTCATCAGAAAGTGATAAAAATTACACAGAATCTTCCTAATTGACTGTTTCATCATTCAATGTAGTATTGTCAGGATTCGCGCATGCGCATGGGAGATATTAAGATTTAAGTGTTTTTTGGACAAAAACGTAACTTTTGAAACATCGCTTCCTTTTTACTTTACAAAGAAAATAGTTAGTCAAATGGAAAAAAAATTATTGTAAAAGTTCTAGCCACAATTGGTTTACTATATTCAGTTTGACTTTTTTTAAAAGTTGCCGTTTTTCAGGATCTATAGACTGTTTATTGAAAAAAAAGCCTTCGGGGTAAGTTGACAAAATTTTTACGGGGTAAGTTGGCTCATAGCATTTACTATGGAGAAAAATATTTATTTTTATAAAAATAATTTTTTTAATTTTTTTAATTTTTAACAATATTGAAAAAACTTATTCTTACAAAAAAATTATAAAAATTTTTTTTTTAGGTTTTTTGTAACAGGTAAAAAGAGGGCTGCTGTTTTGGCTGTTATACGTACTAATATTTAGCACAAGCTAAAAATAATATCAAATTATTAGCTTAAATTGTTGCCAAAATTAATAGGTAAAAAATTTCTATTAATTTTGCACTTAATAGTACATTAATAATCACGTTTATAGTTTGCGTCAACTTACCCCGTGGTGGGGTAAGTTGGCGCAATTTTTTTTTTTTTTTTGAGGGCCCCGTAAGGCCCCAAGAATTTTTTTTTGTAAATCCATGAAACTTTTATAAGTTACCCAAGTTCATACGCTTTGAGACTACACTTTAATATTTTCAAAAAAGTGTGCTATTAGGGCTACAGAGCTCATAGAGTAAAAACCGAGCCAACTAGCCCCGGTCTCCCCTACTCGAAAAACAGAAGAATGATATTCTAGAAAAAAACAAGAAAACTATTAAAAGATCATGAAAAAGTATTCACATCAATAACGGCAGCAAATATGAAAATACTTACTGAACGATTAGAAAAGAATGAAAAAGTCGGAAGCGAAAACTCAACAAAAATCAATAACATTGGAATTGAACTAGAAACAACAAATAAAAAAGTTACGTCTCTGCAGCTGATTGCAGCGATATTAGCAAAGCTATTCAAACTTACGAAGAGATTATTACCGATGAATTTTAAGTTGTAAAGAAAAAAACGGAAGAGTTAAGCAATAAAATGAAAGACAATAGCGAAAAAAAAAGTAAACTTAGAGAAATTGAAGATCGCTCACGAAGGAACAACCTAAGAATAGAAGATCGCTCACGAAGGAACAACCTAAGAATAGAAGATCGCTCACGAAGGAACAACCTAAGAATAGAAGGCATAAAAGAAAATAAAAATGAAAATTAGAGTGTCAATGCAGAAGCTTTTTGAAGATCTTGGTTTAAAAAATATAAAAATTGAGAGGGCTTGCAGGACTGGACTTAGAAGCACACATAGGATAAGACCAATAGTTGTCAAACTACTAAACTATAAAGACAAAGTAGCATTTTAAAACAGGCAAAAAATTTAAAAGGGAAAAATATTTATATCAATGAAGGCTATTGCAATTATAATAAAACAGCTTCGAGAACAACTGAAAAAAGAACAAGAAGGCGGAAAATACGCAGTAATACTGTACAATAAACTAATCATTCGCAACTGGACTCCCGAAGAAAAGTAAAAAGTTTATGTTTTTATTTTATTTTTATTGCTTAAATTCTTATTTTAAAATGGAAACAAACTTATTATATAATTTTAATGCTAAAAATAACACATCCAATGATAATGACATAAATAAAATTAATTAATCTAATAAACAAAAGTATACTTTTAGAAAAAAAATTCTGAATCAAATATTAGCTTTTATAAGGTTGGGGAAGAGATGGAAAATATAAGCTCTTATTATTACAGTTCAAACATTTCAAAAATAACTGCTAACATAGATGATAATGCACTATCCATACTGCATCTAAACATAAGGAGTATACACAAATTTTTTAATAAACTTAAGGAATTTTTATTTAGAGTCAAAATAAATTTTCAAATTATATGCCTAACAGAAACATGGTGCCGGAATAAAGAAATTGAAAATAACTCTAACTTTCACGTTAATATTTATAAAGTTATTCATCAAATAAGAGGATCTGAAAAAGCAGGAGGAGGAGAGTGCATTTTCATACACTTTAGATTTTAAACTTTGTGCTCAATAACAAAAGATTATGAACTATTAACGATTGAGGTTATACACAACACCAGTAAAATCATAATCTTGCACGTCATATATAGACCGCTTTCAGGTAATATAAAAGCATTCAATAAATACTTTAAAAGTCTAATTACAAAAAATGATATTTGTGGAAAACTAATTTATTTTGTGTGTGATCTCAATTTAGATTTGCTCGATTATGAAAAAAATAAAAACGTCCGAAATTTTACCAATACTATATTTCAAAATGGTTTCATTCCATCAATTAACAAACCAACACGCATAACAAAAAATAGTGCTACAATAATTAATCAAATCATAATTAACAATTTCAAAAATATAAAAGTTAAGACTGGAATATTTATCACTGACATTTCAGGCCACTTTCCAGTGTTTATAACTTCACAAAAAAACATCAACAAAATATCAGGAAAAAATAAATTTAAAAAGTGAATTATAAATGATTCATCCATTAATACTTTTATAAATTTGTTATCCACGACAAATTGGGAAGTTATTCTAAAAATTAAAAATGCAGAGGAAGCTTTTGATAGGTTTCATAGCATATTTCAAAGCCACTATAATGAAGCTTTCCCAGTTATTAGTAAGTTTATCAAAATCAAACCCCAGCAAAAACCTTAGATAACAACGGGAATAATAAAGTCATCAAAAAAAGAACAA